AAGACAACAGGCAGTACAAAAGTCAAAAGCATTTTTATTGATGTGAGAGATATTACAAAGATTTAGTACAGATTTGAGAGCCTCATAGTGAGGATGTCCTAGTCTTAAATGCCAAAGATTACAAGATGTATTGGACTGAGAGTTATTACATTGAGACATATGAGAACTAGGATACACAGAATTATTAAAGGAAGTTTTGAGAGTGTTGGCAGACAACTTGTGAGATCTGAGATCCCAGTGCTGGAAAGGAATGAAACCTATAGAGACCTTTAGCTCCAAGTGTTCCATATAGCAGAATTTGTTTAGAAACCTGGGATTTAACAAAACACTCATAAAGATGAAACTCAAAGAAAGCATGATTGTCCTTTGCAAATTGACTAACAATTAGAAGGTTTTTAGTTATTGCTGGAACATGTAGTATGTTATTAAGGTGTAATGAAAGAGATGATTGATAAGGAGAGGGAAAGGATGAAAAACCAATAGACTTAATGTCCAAACCTTGACCATTGCCCATAAAGAGCTTGTCAGTTGTAGCATAATGTGTGGCCCCTGAATCAGGAAACCAGTTCTGAGTGTATGGAGGTGGTCCAAGTACTGAGGAGTTTGCAGAGGCCCAAGCAGCAGTAGGGAGATTTGAGTTATGAGTTTGGTGGTTAAATGGAGAAGCAGACTGTCCCCAATTGAAATGTGGAAGTTGGATGAATATCTTGGGCCTGCTGATTGATGAGATGAGGATAGATGGTTTTGGTTTAGGTATGGATTTGCAATGGAGAAGGGAATTTGTTGAGGTTGATGTGTTTGAGGTGGATATGGATTGAAGTGTTGATGATTTGGTGAGGGTTGCCATGGATTTGATGAGTTAGGGTTTGATGAATTAGGGTTTGAAACAGTATATGCAGGGTTATATCTATGATAACAAATAAGAGCATGGTGTCCATTTTTGCCACAGACTTGACAAACAATGGAGTTGCGACCACCATTGCGACCACCTCTACCTCTGCTGAAATTTCCACGACCTCTCTACCTCTGTAGGAGGGATTTCCACCAGAATTATCAAACTGTGCAACCTGAGCAGAATGATTTTCTTGATTCGCAATTCCTTGGCCAACAACCAGGGTAGTCAAAAGCGCGCGCCTGAGCGCTTAAGCGCACCAGGCGAGACGCATATGAGAGTCAGCGACTGTTAGAGTCCCAGGCGCAGCCAACTGAGTGAAGCGCAAGTGAAGCGCAATAATCGCAGAAGCGGTGAAGGCCGTAAGCGCAAAAAAGCGCACGCTTCAGTCGCCTGGCCTGGGAAAGGAGTAGCAGCCTATTTATTTGTTTGGTCCTACTTTAAATAACAAGCCCATACTTATAATAAGATTTAGCCCATTCAAATAACATGTCAAAATAACTTAAACCCATGTTAAGCCCTTCTAACTTCTGAGTCACGGTAAAATAACTTCTATAGCGTGACTTCATCGTTACTCTGCTATGCTCTACTCGTGCAACTAGTTCAGCGCTGAAACAACATTCAATGATCAACCCACAGAAGTCAGAAACCCATAAGGTGTCTTTCTTTTCATCATCTTCCCATGTTCTTTCATTTTTCTTTTTCAGATTATAGTTTTCATTTATTTTGTCATCTTCATTGATCCTTTCTTTTTTATTCTTTCAGTCTATCTTCATCCTTTACTTCTATAGTTCTCTTTTATTCTTATATATTTTATACAACTCAAACATATTATATTTCTCTTTGCTTCTTATATATTCTATAATTTATAGTTCTCTTTGCTTCTTATATATTCTACACTTTATAGCTCTCTTTGCTTCTTATATCTTCTATACTTTATATGCAGTCTATAACTATAGTTATCTTCTTATTATCAGTTCATATTATAATTTTATTAAACTTCATATAATCTAACTTAATTAATAGTTTCATACACTACACAATTTATGCTACCCCAATCCTCAAACCTCAAAACCAGCTATTGAGAGACATGACTTTTTAATGCATTTAGTTCAATATGATGTTGAATATGTCATATTTGATCACTCTAGAATAGTATACATAATATTTTCTACATAGTGCGTTTGACATGAGTCAGGCGAGCGCTTTTTTGCGCTTTGCGCCTCAGGTGATATAAATACTCTAGCGCCTTGAGTGCGCCTCACGACTTTGACTACCTTGCCAACAACAAACCTTCAAGTTCTGAGATGGAAATAGGATCTACAATACTACGAGAAGTAATAGAAGATACAAGCGACTCATAGTCTTCAGGAAGTCCTTCAAGAATCACATTAATGTGATCCTTGGTGGATATTGGTTCACCAATAGACATTAGGTTTTCAACGATGTTCTGAATACGAAGTAGATAGTCGGAGATAGATCGATCACCTTTACCGGTGCTATACAGTTCAGATTTTAGCTGGTAAGCTTTAGCAACAACAGTTGATCGAATGTCTGCAACTGATTACGCGCGCATGAAGAGACTCAGACAGCGACACCAAAAGCCAAGAGAATAACATCTGATCCTGTTGTTCCCAAGTACTGTAGGCTTCATTGATCGTCTTTGTTTGTCCATCGTCGCTGACAAGGAATTGTTCAGGAATCTGAGGTTTTTCGATGAATCTGTGAAGTTTATGTGCTCGGATCACAGATTCAACGTGATGTCGCCAGAATAGAAAATTATTAGAATCTAGTTTAATTGGCAAAGGATGATTGAAGATCACTGGAGAAATTTGTGAGGAAGTTTGTGAAGAAGGTTGCGAGGAATTTGATTCAGAAGATGAGATCGTCATGACTGGAATGAGCAAAGCTCTGATACCATATTAGAGTTCAAGCAAAGTGATAGAATGGAAAAATGAAATCATCTTATTCTGGAAGAGTAGTTACAGAGTATTTATAGTTGATAGCCTTAACAGACTAAACAACCGAGAGTACAGTACAAAGAAGCCTAACCCCTTGTAACTACAACTTGTAACTACTTTAACAATACAAAGAAATGTAGTCTATATACTATTCCTAACAGGGCCGTCTGTATTTTAAAAATACCCTATCTCCCACTCCAAATTGAAGGTCCCTTCTATGCTTGTTGGCCTGTTACTTCATCTGGTTTTGAGCCACTTCATTTCACCCCTTGTCTGGAAATGATATGACCAAGGTACACCAGTTGAGTCTGCCCAAATATGCATTTTTTATTAACCACCAACTGATTAGCTTTCAGAGTGTGAAGTAGTAGCCTGAGGTGCTCTTTATGATCCTCTGAGCTTTTACTGTAAACCAAAATGTCATCAAAGAAATCCAAACCAAAACAAATTTCCCGAGGTATAGTTTTTAAAACTTGATCATTAGAGACTGAAAAGTGGAGGGAGCATTTGTTAATTCAAAGGACATCACTCGGTATTCATAATGCCCTTCGTGTGTTCTAAAAGCGGTTTTGTGAATGTCTGCCTCTTTCATGCGGATCTGATGATAGCCTGACTTGAGATCCAACTCGGAGAATTTTTTTACATGTCCCAGCTCATCTAGAAGCTTCTTTATGACCGGTATTGGGAGTATATCTAGGATGGTGATCTTGTTCAAGGCCCTATAATCTCCGCAGCACCTCCATCCTCCCTCCTTTGCCAGAATTATGGGACTGCGGTAAGGACTGTTGCTTGGTCTGATTTTCCCTACCTTCAGCATTTCTTACACCAACTTTTCAATTTCATCTTTTTGGTACTGAGGGTAACGATAGAGTTTAATGTTGGGAATGGTAGCGACATCTCTAATATTGATAGCGTAATCACATTGCTCTCCGATTGAAACACTGTAGGAAATTCTGAAATTATCTCTTCCCATTGCTCTCCAATTTCTTGTTTTTCAGAAGTTAACTCTTCTTCACAATGGATAAAATAAGCCTCTCCTTTACCCTGCAGCGTTTTCATTTTCATCAAACCTTTCCAAGAAGCAGTGGCTTTACTCAGAGATGAATCACCTTGTATCCGCTTCTTCTGACCACCCACTTCCCACTGAATAGTTAATCGTTTGAAATCAGCCTCCGCTTTTCCCAAACTAGCTAACCATTCCATGCCCAACACCAAATCCATTCCTCCTAGGTCCAAGATATAAAAATCTTGTTCAATCCGTAGGCCTTGAATTCTAACTGGAAGCTTTTTGCACTTCCCTTGATCATAAATTTTCATTCCATTCCCCATTTCTACTTGGAACTTAGAAGTCTGACAGGCAGGAAGATTTAAAGCTGTGCAGACTGTTTGAGAAATAAAATTGTGTGTTGCACCCGAATCAATAAGTATGATTACCGGTAACTCACCACACTGTCCAAAGCATCCAGCATCTTCCAAAATCAGCCTCATCCTATATCATTTTGTCCGTTGAACTCTCATTTTGTTGGTGCCCCTCATAACTCCTCTCTTTCTAGTTTCTCTACCAAAGTTTTCACGGACATTTCTTCCCTTTCTCATCAGACTAGAGGGGCTCTATCTTTAGATTGTTATACCTACCTTTTCTAGTCACGCATAATTCATGATGGGTAAGGTTTCATGTTCCCCCTTGTTCTCCCAGTCTTTAAATGTTCAAAGGATATTCCTGTTAAGGATTCAATGATTCATTTGGACGATTGGGAATAATTTAAGTTCTGATGATAGTAGGTAGTGGTGAAAAAATTAAGCAAAAGTGATTATAGTGAAACTAAGCATCCAAATGAATCATATTCAGACACTTGATATCTTCACCTGTATGTGATCATTTTTTCTGGAAAGAATAACACATTCAGTTCTGATTTTCTACATAGCATATAGGATTAGGATAAAAATGTTCTAAATATACCTCATTTATGCATTGCAAGATTTTATGACCTGTTATTGCATATACGTAAACATACACATATAAAAGAAGAGTATACATCGATGCATAAAATAAACAAGAACAAACCTTTGTTCCAAAACAGAAAAGAGAATATATCTATTGATGCAAAATGTACTTAAAGTTGGTAATCTGTGATTTTACTTTTCAGGTGGCATTGCTCAATCATCGTGAGACAAGGTGGCAATGCTGACAAGACACATCTGAAGGCCCAGCTTCTGAGGTCATACAAATTTATGAATTTACAAAATGTGACTGTATATCTTGTTAACAATATGTTGCATGAATGGGGTTTCGAAACACTGGTTTTTTGTTCCAAGTTTCTTAATCACTTTGGCGCTAGATGTGATGACTTCCCTAATTTGGTAATGGCAAACTTTGTATTTTTTTCTCACTTGGCATAGAACAGAAATGTGCTTTTCCCACAATGTTTGCCGTTAATTATAAACCAGGGTTCATATTTTGGTTTCAGGATGTACTTTTCACAAGTGATGGTGATTCTGTAGTGCATGACAGTGATCACTTCCATCTAGAGATCGGGGAGAGTGACTCATCTGACAATGAGATGTGTTTCTATCCATTTTCCAAGAAAAGTTCTCCAACTGTAAAACTTGATGAGCGCAGGTTTACAATTTACATTAGTTTTTGTTTAAACATTTTATGAGATGAGTGCAGGCATTTACAATTTACATTAGTAGTGACATGTTTATGTAGTATAAAGGATAAATAAGCCGTCTTCATATTAGTTGGGCCTCTTATTTTCACTTTTTACTCTAGCGCCTTCCATCTCTGCGCATGAGAAGTTTCCTTTTTATAATTGTGTGCTGTAATTTTCTTTTCTGCTCATCCAACAACTAAAAATACTCTTACGGGCTCCCTTTTCTTGGTTTTCAAAAGCCCTGCCAGGTGGTTTTATCATAATACAACCACCATCAATGGAAAGTGAAATATAAATATAACACAAAGTACTATAGTGTTTCATATAAGGTGTGTAAAGATAGTAACTTACTATTGAAATTTTGTAACCCAAAAGATCATATAAATCAGAATTAGTAATAAAATTACTAGAAAACAAATCTATGTGTACATTGAATTGCTCCATGCTATAATTGTAACGTTGACTATCCAGTTTAGGACCTTAGGTTTCCTTCCTCCTTTCATTAAATTTTTGAGTGACTAAAACTTACAAGTGGTATCAATGTGTGCACTAAATCACTCCCTGCTAGCTCTATGTCTTACTGTCTTCAAAGATTTAGGGATAAAAGACTGCATTAGCACACTATTAATGATATCTTCTATGTTTGACGCTTAGGTTTTTAATAAAAGGCTGGACCAATAGACCAAGTGCATTAACATTTGAGGACCCGAACGAACCCTGTTCAACTGATATACCTTTTTATAAGCCAATTCCAAGCTTGACTCCAATTATTATTAATTGTGGCTTTCCTAGATTATTTCTTGAAAATTTGATTTTCGGAGCTCCAATGTGATCCACGGAGAACAGGATTGTGTGAAAAGGTAATTCCTCATTCAATTTCACATCTTTCTGTTTCTTTCGATCTGATTACTCTTATTACATGTATGGTGTATTCCTCCAATTTTTTTACATTTTACCTAACAATATGCCTATTTGCACTTAGTTTGAGCCTACCAATAAAAATGCGATTAAATAGAGTAAAAGTTTACTCCATTAGAGCATGTAAGAACTTTTTTCTGAAAACAAAACTTATTTACTCTAAATAAATTAAGTGGTGTATCGTTTCATGTTAGCCGACCCAAATATCTTTTAGGACTAAGGCTTGGATGTTGTTGTTGTTGTATTTGATTACATCTTAATGTGTTATATTTACTCTATTGTTACCTTAATAACAATATGCCTATTTACATTTTACCTAACAATATGCCCCCTGTTTTAGCACCTATTACCCATTTTTTTTGATTTTTTAATCTGCTTTAGCATCTATTAGTTATTTTCCCCCTTTTCTTTTGGGTTTTGTATCCCAGAACAAAGGCATGTGCTTTAATGTATTAGATGTGATGTTTGATAAAATGTTTTCATCATTTTTCTTTGGCAGTTCTGCCTAGATGTTGTTTTATGGAGCTAAACCTATATTCTGTAGTAGGTACTCTATAATTCTGTTTATGTGATGTTTGATAAAATGTTTAGGTCATTTTTCTCTGAATTAGCATTAAAGAAAATAAACACTTTTGACTTCTTTTCCCACCGTGTTATTGTTCCCAGATTAAAAAAAAAAAGAGAAACTAAAGATTGAGATAATCTCTTCATCTGCCTCCTACAACATTGATTTTCCTTTTCCCTTCAACTCTCAAGTTAAAGAGACATTTGTTAAGAAGCAGTACAGAGTTATATATGAAATGGTGTCTCGATTATGACTTTTGTTTTATCCATTCTAAAAACTACTCCGTGTATTGGAATGCAAACAATTTTAATGATTTACAGTTCAGGTAAATCTCTCATTTATTTACTAATACTTCTTTCCTATTCATGTGTTTAGCTTCAGCTGGTATAATCAAATAAACATCAACATAAATATCTACCTTTACTTATAAATATTTTCGACGCGATTTTCACTATGGTTCATTTGGAAACAGTCTCTGTGCTGTAGTACAAGGGGGTGAGATTGCGTACATCCGACCCCCCTTACCCCACCGTAGGTGGGAGCCTTTGCGGCACTGGGGTAATGATGATGATGATGATGAGTATTGATTCATTAGTTAGTTCATAAGTTCTTAATAAAAACAATGCTTTAGGTTAATCAAATTCCAGTGGCTAAAAAGTTAAGCTTAAATCATTTTTTCTCTTCTTTAGATTCTTTGGTTTTGTTTATTAAATATTTTCATGTTAACAATTTAAAAGTATCGCTGATGTTTCACCTTTCCATCATTTGCTATGGAGCCAAAGATTCATTATTTTTTGGCTTGAGAATATGATGGAATCCTATCCTATCCTATATACATAAAAGCAAAATCCCTCTCCCAAAAACTTCCCGCCTCTCTCTCCTAAGTCATTTATGCTCTTCAATTCAATAGCGCCTTTAATTTCTCCAAAAGTTTGCTCACCGGAAGCAATAAAGCAATTCATCCGTTTTTTGCTTCATTGCATATTTCTCGCTTCATGTAATTTAATCGCTTCTCGCTTGGATCCAGGAAGCTACCTTGATGTTGTCGTACCTGCCCTTGCATCTCGCTTAGATCCAGGAAATCCAGAAACTGAATGCAAATGTCAAGCACTCCAAATCGGTTCGTCGATTCAATTTCCTGCCAGAAATCTCTCCAGCCTCACGCCAGGAGTTCCATATTGGAGAGTCTTTCTTGCCCGTTTCACTTCAGAGAAATCATGGCCCCTTAATCGCCGACGATCGAAACCCTTGCCGCCGTCTTCCATTCAGCCCGATCGATCGTCGATTATCTGTCAGCTGAGAAATCTATCGGCGATATCCAAATTGACCGGTGGGCCTGTGAACTCCCGAAACCCCCACTCTCATCCCTCTATTTCAAGGTACGGTTTTAATTTGTGTTGCAAAATGATGCCAATGATATCATCTCTATCCCTACATGGCAGTGACCAACGAAAAGGTCCTTTCAGTTGATTTTAGAAAAGGTCTTTCTATCCATACATAATTTTTTTTAGGATTCTCCCATCATTTTAGTTTTTTTTGAAAGCTATTAAACTGGAATTTTGAACAGTTTGTCATTCTTCTACACATTTAGTGTTCCATGTGCTTCAACCTTTCTACATGAAGTGCCTTTGGTTTTACATTTACCATTGTACATATATGTGACAGTAGCTAGGGTGTAAAGAAGATCATATTTTAGGAAGAGTTGGATTTTTTTAGTTGTACACTTTTTCTAAATAAATTGGTTTGACTAAATTTCTAGATAAATTGATTTGAAATTGATTTGTAAATGGATCCAAATGATATTGGGTTTCAATTGGTATCCGAATGAGATTAACACTGATGTGCTCTCTTTGTTTTTAATTATTTTTTCGTACTTTTTTAGAACTTATTAACAGGCAATCAACAATTGGTTTACAAATGAAATCGATACTGGTGTGCTCCTCTGTTTTTTATTTTTCATACTTTTCTGATTATTTAGATTTTATTAATAGACAATTAGAGTGGTACCTGAGAAGTGAGAACTGTAATGGGGGTTTATATGACAAAATATGCATATTAGCAATTATTGTACATAAAGTCTAAGCTAAAAACAATTGTTTTGTTTATGCTTCAGGTTCCTTCTAGAACGTAACAATCTTTGTGAAATAGCCATGATGAGTGGTTTCATACATTTTTGCTCCAGTTGAACCTCCTACCTGAAATCAAATCACGTCCTGAAGTCTATTATATTCATCCAGGTTTAAGATCATCTTCGTTAATTTATTCAAGCATGAGTTTCAAATAAAATTGTTGTAAAAACCCAGGAGCAATTGAATAAAGAAAAAGTCGGGAAGAAGAATAAGAATATCAGAAGACTAGAAGAGATGATCTCGATATATTTTTCCTCCCCTATTACATGGATGCAAGCACATATTTAAACACTTGAAATACAGGAGTTCCACTCCTACGTGCATAGTGGTCTCCCCCCACAAAGCCAATAACTAAAACTGTAAACAAATGCAACTGCCTAGTGGTAACTAACCGTAAGCCAATAACTACAACAAATGAAATAATAATAATAATTATATGTGAAAATAATAAGACTCTGGCAGTCCAATGGGCCTATCAATACCCCCTCCTGAAACAGTGACCTTGTCCCCAAGGTCGAAAGCACTCAAAGCAGAAAATTATTCTCGCACAAGAGCAATGTCTTCCCATGTGACATTCTCTTGTGACAGATGGCACCATGTATTCATCCCGGGTATCGTAAAGAAAGTTTTGGTGGACTCTCCTCAGGTGGAACTTCCTCATCCTCGGGTGCTGCTTCCCCACCGTCCAACAAAAGGAGCTGTGGTTGTTTACAATGATGTCCCGGAGTAAACCGCTCATTGCACAAAAAACAGAGGCCGAGTTGCCGTCTACGTTGCATTTCATCCCACGGTAATTGCTTGATGGCAGTAGGAGTTTTGTTTGGTTCTGCTTGGCAGCACCAGAACGGATGGAATTCCGGGTACTCGGTTGCCATTTTTCTTCTATTAGTCGTGCAAGGCCAAAAGCATCCTCCAAGGTTCGTGGGTTTTTTGTCTTGACTTCGAGCCGAATTTCATCTTTGAGTCCGCCGACGAAACAACCGATCACAAATGGTTCAAGAAGATCATCTATCTGGTGGCTAAGTTGCTCAAACGGATCTTCGTAAACAGCAACTGTAGTGGTTTGTTTGAGACGAGAAAGAGCCTCAGACGGATCTTCGTATTCAGTTGGTCCAAAGCGCAGCCGCAAGGACCTCACAAATTCTGCCCAGGAAATTGGGCCCCGACGCTTGGTCATCCAGCGAAACCATTGTAGTGCTAATCCTTCCAGATTCATGGCGGCTAAGCCAAGTTATCGTTCAGGAGTCACACCATAGAACTCGAAATATTGCTCCACTTGGTATATCCATCCGGTAGGGTCACCACCTGCAAAATTTCGGAAACACCGCTTTCGGTTCGTTTGGCCGGGGAGTGGGGCGGCTGGTTTCTCCATTTGCAAAGGGGTTAATGTTAATATCCATGGCGGAGGGATCACGATTGAGGCGCCGGCTCACTGCTTGTAACTCGGCCGTCACTGCCTGTAGGGCTGCCGTGAGTTGATCCAGCAAGATTCATGTCGGCCCAGTGCTTCGTTAACTTCGTTCCGAAACTCAGCGTTGGTTTTCCCTCGGGTATCCATCGGCTCTGATACCAATTCATAAAACCCAGGAGCAATTGAATAAAGAAAAAGTCAGGAAGAAGAATAAGAATAGCAGAAGACTAGAAGAGATGATCTCGATATATTTTTCCTCCCCTATTACATGGATGCAAGCACATATTTAAACACTTGAAATACAGAGGAGTTCCACTCCTACGTGCATAGTGGTCTCCCCCCACAAAGCCAATATCTAAAACTGTAAACAAATGCAACTGCCTAGTGGTAACTAACCGTAAGCCAATAACTACAACAAAGGAAATAATAATAATAATTATATGTGAAAATAATAAGACTCCAGCAGTCCAATGGGCCTATCAATTGTATAGTTTACTTGAAATCAAACTTAATCATTTAGTCTGATTAGAATTATTTCGTTGTGTCTATTTAGTTTATGTTACTGTCTATATGTTACCCTATTACATTGTGTCTATTTAGTTTATCTTACACTTTTCATCCTTTGCCTTTCAGGTCAATCCCCTCAGCTTTCATCTCCTTTCAATTTCACACCTCCCTCCATCTTCATTGTGCTGATTTCATTTCTTACCTAAGGTGGCGGCTCTCTTCAAAATCAAACTCTAATCTTACATATAATTGCATCTACCTCTTATACAGTGAATAGAAAAAAGGGATGCCTCATTTAAGCGGTTAAGCCTATACCAGTTGTGCATAAGCCTATTTCACCAGTATTGCAATGGATCGGGCAGAGAAAGCTTGAGATCTCTAGAAAGTAGGTTGCTATAAATCTTTTAGATAACATGCAGTCTTTCTACCTAACATTCTTGTGTCTTGAATTGCCGATCTTTTCAATATTTTGTTGATATAGAAGTATTACAAGGATGACTTTGACAACACATTTAAAGAAGATATCATTGTAACCACGTCAGAAAAGAATACAGAAGAGAAGACAAGGTCACATGTTAAGGATTTAAAAGATGATGCAACTGGTCCTGCAGATTCTGAATTCAACAGGTGAGGGATATAGTATGAACTTTGCAGTCAAAACATTTTTTAGGGTCTGTTAATATATGTTTTGGATGGGAGGACTTTGGAATGCTTAGTCTTTATCTTGATTATTAATAGATTCTTTATTAAGATATAGACTGAAAGCATGTGTCGGAAACCCGCATTTCAGCTATTAGGGAATAATTTAAGCTTCTTTTTAAAATCCAACATGTTTGGATCATAGGTTATAATTCAAAAAAAATATTCCATGAAATTCTAGCTGTTCAAGAAAATTGGCTTTTTGTAGTTTGTTTTTCAACACCTTATTTTCTTTCATCTGTTTTGGCATCCTTTTTCAGATGATACTCCGTATTAAATATTACTCCAGTGTAACATTAAGCCACTTTTGAGCAAATTTTATCCTATGAAAAACGAACTCCCATTTAGTTAATTATTATATAATTAGATATAAACTCCCTCTGCCCAATTTATTTGATGTTCTGGCTTCATACTTTTGTCCCCGAATAAATGTAGTTCTTCAGGTTCCAATGTACAATGTTCTCCTTTCTTCCCCAACAACTCTTTTTTAATCCCTTCTAGAATAGAAAATGACAGAAAAAGATTAGAGAGACTATAAAAGTTTGATAAAGAAGGGCAAAGTAGTTTTTTAATGTATAAAACCTTAATATGTTTGAAAATTGCTAAAACGTCAAGTGATTTGATTGATAGTCTGATACAAGGCATTTTCTGCATTCACGAGTACCAATCAAGATGAAAAAGAGAGTTTGTTCAATTGAACTAATCATGTAAGTTTAAATCTTTAATTGATTGAGTTCCTTTTTAATTTGATTCGGCCTCTGTTTATTTTACGTTATTCATCTAAAGTTTTTGTTTTGCTCAGTTGTCCATATGCATTTCGTCACTCCAGGTAAGTACAAACCACAACTATTACAACAACCTCAAAGAAATACCCCATCAAAGAACATGGATTGAAGAAAAATAGACAATTTTATTCAATAGAATAAGGTAATCTTATGCTCAATTAGATTAAAATTTGATATTCCTTGCGTCCATGGGTTAATTGAAATCTATATTAAAAATAGGATAAAAATTCATAGTTAACCACTTCAATAGCTTCTACTTTGAAATTATTACACAAATAAGCTGATTCTTTGATTAGTACTACCTCCGTCCCCCTAAGTTTGGGACAAGAGAAGGTGGCACGGTTATTAATAAAAGTGGGTTTATGTGGTTGATATTGAATTTATAAAGTAAGAATAAAGTAGGAATGATTTAGAACCACACCAACTTTACCAAATGAGGTATGAGACAATCTTAGTGGGACGGACCGAAATGGTAAAATGGGACAATCATAGCGGGACTGAGGGAGTACATTATAATTGTCCCCACAAAAAAAAACATTATAGTTGTCAAGACTCGGAAAAACTCCATCATTTTTCACATTCTGTGAAATATCTCCCAAAATACGCTTCATTCCCTTGGTGATATTGAAAATAGATCTTGAGGAACCTGATACTTGGTGTAATTTTTTGCTCCCACTAAATGATTAGTAGTTAGCTTTCCAAGACTCAACAAGATTTTACGATAGTAACTTTGAAAGTATCGAGATTTTTATATTTAGAGCTTGACTATGTTGGTGTTTCTACACTCTATCCTTGACTAATAATTTGAAAATATTTTGACCTGAGCTTTGATTTTTTATTTATTTTGTCAGTGATGGAATTTCTGAAATTGATGTTTGTTCATTGATAATAATGTTTGTCTTTAAGACGGTTCATCTTTGAAAATCTATAATTTCATTTTACTCAGGGGTTGAATTGATCTTGGAATTGCAACTGTGGTTAATCAGTTGTGGCTGATTCCAAGGGTATAACTTTTATATCTTTTGAACTGTCTTACTTTCCTTTTTGAGTTGTCCCAAAATAAGTGTCATCTTTCCCTTTTTGGAAAGAAATATGTGGTTCATAACATTTCACTTTACTATACTCAAATCTCAACCCCAACTTTTACCTTTTCAACCACTTTATTAAAAATTGTGCCTAAAGCAAAGAAGACACATAAAATGGGACGGAGGTAGTAGTACTTAATAAACTAATAATGATGATGATTGTGGATGTGTCCATCAAGCAGCAGGAGCAGTAGGTGAGGCGCAGTCACGTAGACTAGTCATCAAGGTTGACTTTGACCTTTTCCACAAACATGCACTACCAAGATGGTTCTTTCTCCCAGGCTGCTTGTTCTTATTTCTAAAAGAAAATTCTAAAAGAGAAAAGATGGGGTTTCCTACATGGCTGCTTGTTCTTATTTCTGCATGCATGATCACATGTCACTTGAAGTCTGTATTAGGAGAAACGAGGTGCATAGAGAGGGAAAGAGAGGCACTTCTGAAGTTGAAGGAAGGCTTCACAGATACGGATGACCGTATGTTGTCAACGTGGGGAAGTGAGGCCGACAAAAATGAATGTTGCCAATGGAAGCACGTCGTGTGTGACAACGTCACAGGTCATGTGACTGCCCTCCAGCTTGGGGGTTTGACTACTTCGACGTTTCCAATGGGAGGCAAGATCAGTCCCGCTTTACTCGAATTGCATCATTTGAATCATTTAGTTCCGAGTTATAATGATTTTGGAGGAACAAGAATCCCCGAATTCATCGGCTCCATTAGAGCTTTACAGCTGTTGGATCTCAGTTATTCCAACTTTTCCGGGGTGGTTCCTCCTCAGCTAGGGAGCCTTGCACAGTTCCTCCTCATCATCGCTATCTACCCTTGATCTGTCATCAAACAAGCTCACTTCTTCCACCACATTACAATGGTTGTTGTTTAACACAAGTGCAAGTCTTGCTTATATAGGCCTGTCAGGAAATCAGTTTAGTGGTCCAATCCCAGACGCGTTTGAGAAGCTGTTTTTTCTGGAATCTCCATGACAACATGTTTGAAGGACAGATCCCGAAGTCTCTAGGGAATTTAAGTTTGGTAGACTTAGACCTCTCCCATAATGACATGGGAGGACCTCTTGAGGATTTATTAAACTCATAACACTAGAGACTCCCACCGCCGGTCTTTCCAAGCTTGAACACCTCGACGTTTCACATAATTCATTACAAGGAACACTCTCGGAAACCTACTTCATAGGCCTTAGCAACTTAAGGTACATAGATTTATCATTTAATAGATTGAAGTTGGAGTTCAGCAAAAACTGGATCCCGTCTTTCAAGTAGCGTCTTATATACTTGGCAAACTGCAAAATTGGCCCTTCTTTCCCTGAATGGGTTCAGACACAAAGGGGGTATGTTGTTAATCTGGACATTTGTAATGCTGGTATATCTGATGAAGCTCCTCAATGGCTATGGAATATGTCTCTGGGATACTTGAACCTGTCTCGTAATCAGATTACTGGCACAATCCCAGATCTGTCGTCCACTTCCATTGGGATTGTTGATGCCGGGCATAATAACTTATCAGGGACTGTACCATCAATTAGTCCGCTCATTTGGGTTCTTCAGCTCTCCCAAAATATGTTTTCCGGGACCATTAATTCCTTATGCCTGTACGCCTATTGCAGGATTTCATGGCTTGACCTCTCTAATAACTAGTTGATGGGAACGCTCCCCAGCGACTTGTGGAACATGCAGGCATTGGAGATTCTCAATGTGAATTACAACAACCTTTCTGGTGAAATTTCACTCTCTGGGCTCTCTATCACCTCGTCTGGAATCTCGATTATAGTTTAATTTGTCAGGAAAGCCAATTTTGTTTGTGAACGACTGTATGTTTTTTGTAAACCTCATGTGTGTTTTAATGCAAGTAAAATTATATTGCATGATTGCATCCGGTAAATCACAATGTTATTGACTTATTGTTGGGGGTAATTGGTTGGGGTTTTTTATAAAAGTTTTTTTTTTTTATTTGTTTGGGGGGCCATGTCTCCGAGCCTCTACAAAACCGGATCACAACCAAACGCGTATACATTTCAGAAATTTTGCTTTCAATTATGACTTATGAGAGAGCACTATTAAGGATGTGGAATAGGCCATAATTAGGACAAAACAAGTTGATAAGTTAGTGATAGATAGGCTATGAGCAACGATCTTGGAGGTTTGTTCGGTAAATATAAGTCAGGCCGGCCTGACGAGTCATATACTTATCCGGTAAAACTATATTATATTAGTAGTATCTATGTCATTTCTTCTTTTTTATTGTATGTGCAAACCTATAATATCGGACTTTTGTGAACGTAACAGATAATATTTAGTATGGACAATGTCTACGAGGTAAAGAGATGGAGACATCAGTTTAAAATGCAACTACAAGGAAGATCTAGCTCCTGCAGAGCACAGGACTTAAATGAAATTCCTTTTCCTTATGCAGTGTGTGCTATATTTGACAAGGGTGATGACCCAAAAGATATGTTGATAATTGCTGCTCCAAGGTAAGGGTGTGCACAATTCGGTAAACCGACCAAACCAAACCGGCACCAAAAATTTCGGTATATACCGAACTAAAATTTTGGTTCCGTAATCGGTATGTACAATTTTGAAAATTCCGTATTCTGTTCGGCACACACACACTTTGCTTTTCGGTATTTACCGATTACAAGAATATATAAAATAATATATTAAATATATTATTAGTAATTCGAAGTGAGCATGTACTCTAACCTGGGAATTGGGAGACTGAAGAAGTGAATGTAGAAGTGAACTTCTAAAGTGGATTTGTATAGCAATGAAACCCCCTTTGTTTCGTAATGTGTTCTTTTGTACTGTGTTATGTATTATTCATGTCTATAAGTGCCCCTTCTGAATGTAATGACATGTTAACATTAGAATAGATCACATATTGCCCTTTTGCCCCTTTTATGTTTATGATTATGTGTACTGGCCGTAGTCACTATGGAAACACCACTTTTGTAATTTTTTGTGGACAAGTTATGTTATCATTTATTTATGCCGCAGATGTCATGACATTACTATGACTTAGAATTCGGTACCAAGAGTTAATGAGTGGGTTTGCAACATATACATCTTAATAATAATAATAATAATAATAATAATAATAATAATAATAATGTAAAGGGATTATGCCATTATTTTGTTGGGATGTGCATCCAAAATAATTAGGTGAGTGCATAAATAATTGTTTTTGGCTCATTCTTCACAAAGTGCCTAATCCAAAATTACTATCTTCTACTTTATTTCATAAAAGTGTTTCACTCCAAATCACATAACACACAACATATGTTTGTTGTGTTTTCTTAATATCCTTGTATTCCAATTTTTTCAAGTCTTACAAGGTAAGAATGAGACAAAACTCCATTAGTTTCATCTTTGTACTCCTAGAGACATGAAGATACACATTGTCACAATCCCAACTATTACAGCTCCTACAAAGTATCTAAATCTCTTATTTTCTTTAATCTCACAATGCATGGCTACTTTGACTTGGAAAATTCCACCACATATGTGAATTATTTGCTCTTGTACATCATATAACACTGTTCTGGCCTCAAGCGTGCAACAATTTCAAAATATGTGCATAAATAATTGATAATGCGGGTTAAAACAGGATTGCAGGTGTACCTATCGGGAATGGTGATATTACTCTGAAGAGTTGGCTGCAGAAACTTCTCTCCGGGCCGGACAAGGAAACAAGTTGTAAGGTGGCAATGGTGTTATGGGGTGTTTGGAAGAGGAGGAACTCGTTTGTGTGGAATGATGACTGGCAGCAAACTGCCGGCCTGCTTAACGGTTGTGCAAGTGTTCTACGCGCATGGCGCGATGCACAACAGCAGGTTGCGGGAGTTGGGAGCAGTAGCGGAGGTTCCAGCAGCGCGGGATGGGTCAAACCGCGATCAGGGAGGATTAAGGTGAACGTGGACGCTGCACTAGATTTGACAAAGGACATTCGAGCTTGGAGTTGGGTGGCAAGGAATGATCAAGGAGAGTTTATCAAGGTAGGGGGAGGTTCGCGCGAAGCACGCTGGTCTCCGGAAGAGGCTGAAGCCTATGGTCTTCGTGAGGCCATCAGAACAGCTATTAAGGAAGGTTGGGACCTTGTTGATTTTGAATCTGATGCTCAGGTGGTGGTACGGGGACTTGGCAAGAGAGGAGGATTGGCATATATGGATCTTATACTTGATGATATCCACTTCTTGATACACACAAAGAGGTCTTTTAGTATCTCTTATTGCAAAAGGTCCGCGAATCGTGTGGCTCATGCCTCGGCGAGATCACATGTTAGCATCTCAGATCATAGTTTTAGTTATGAGAGTATTCCGAGAAGTATTGTAAGCCTGATGGCAAATGATCTTTTATTAATATAATGATGACGGGTTTATTTTTGCAAAAAAAAAAATTTACAACCGTCCTTCCAAATCAATTATCATCCCTAAGTTAAAGGCTACATTTCCTTGAATTTCACTTCACATTATTTAAATTAACCAAAAATTGGTCTCACAAAAACAAGTTACATTTCAATTATGATTTTAGCTTTGGAGAAATCAAGGTGGAGGACTGTGTGAACGATTGATATCTTCTCTCTCTCTATGTCTCTCTCATCTCTTATCTTCTTTATCTTTCTTTCTTATGTTATTTTTATCTTTTATATTTCTTATGTTCTTTTATCTTTTTTATGTTCTTATATTATTTTTATCTTACCTTACCTTTTAATTTTTATTATCTTTCTTCTCTTTGTGCTCTGATACCATGAATCGGTTAAAATTAGCCCACCTTAAAATCTTTTGGTAACAAGACTTGGATGTTGTTGTTGTATACCTTCCATCGTTGACACCCAAAAAACTTACGAATGCTTTCACTCCCAAGTCCCAACATACAAAGGATACTCCAAACCACAATGCCAATGCACACTTGGTGTGTAGTTTAATGTCTAAATAATCTTTATGTTTGAAGTAAACGAACTTGCAAACATTCTTGGACCACTGGTGATGAATGATGAGTAGCTAAATCAGAAATAGTATTTTTCATGATGAACAGTATTTTTCATGCTTGTTCATCAGTAAGTAGGTTTAGACTCATGCAAATCATAATTAAAAAAACCATTGTTATTCATGTGCTTACAACAATCCAGAAGAATAAAACTTACAAATATTAAAATGTTTTAACACACTTGCCTCATTATATATTACATGAGAGTGCCCATGAGTACTATCGGATAGGATTCCCTGGAAAGTGCAATTAGGCATTTGGGAATCTTCATCATTTAAAGCAATGATAAAAAGGGACAACGGAAGGGGCAAGCTATAGGTGGAGAAAAACGAGCAACTTGAACATTCTAAGCACCATGGTCATGTTGTCATGCATCTTTTAAATGAGAGCGCCCATGAGTACTATTGGAGAGGATTCCCTGGAACGTGCAATTACACGTCCATGTGTCTTTTTCATTTGAATCAATGATTTCAATAGTTGCCGTAAATACTACTCGAAGTCCACAAATTATTTCCTTGATATATCGTCAAGATTTAGTTGGGATCCCACAAACACTTGAAATTCATCATCAAGCATTTTCAACTTAACGCACATAGATTTATTGAGTTTGTCTTCGAGATAGTTTAGAACTATGTTTTCAATGGACATCAATAAGATCACAGGCACAGGAAACACGTTATGATAAGTCTCATACTTTTCTGAAGGTAGAATGGCTTTGAGCTGGATGTCTGACATACTTAATATGAAAAAGCTAAACCAAAGAAGTGTTTCACCAAGAAATCAACAGACTTTGCCAGAAATTAAAGATGGACTTTACCAGATACAACTCCTACAAAGTATCTAAAACTTTTATTTTCTTTAATCCCACAATGCATGACTACTTTGACATGGAAAACTCCACTAGAAATGTAAATTAGTTACTCTCGTACATCATATAGCACTGTTTTGGCCTCCAATACAAGCTGAAATTTAGATTTTGTACTTGTTGAATTTCACTTTGCTCTTTCCAAACAAAGAATCTACACCCTCCCTCTCATGCGTGCAACAATTTAAAAAATATGTGCATAATAATTGCTAAAAGGGTTAAAACATGCCTGCAGGTTCATATTTTACAACCGTCCTCCCAAATCAATTTTCATCCCAAAATTAGGGGCTAAAATGCTTGAATTTTGCTTCACATTATTCAAATTAACCAAAAATTGGTCTCACAAAAAAAATTACTCCCTCCGTCCCACTTTAAGGTTCCCACACGATTTACGATGTTTGATTGACCATAAAGTTAACTGATCCCTGTCATTAATATAATTATTTTTAGTAAAAAAAAATTTACATATTCAGAAACTACATTAAACCCGCTACAAAACATGCAAAAAATAATTAAAATTTCATAAACTTTAGATATAAAAAGTAAAAGATTAAGAACAATGCACGTTGACCGGAGAATAGTGTACGTGAACCTTTAAATGGGACGGAGGGAGTACATTTCAATTATGATTTTAACTCTGGAGAAAGCAAAGTGAAGGATGCATATTCACGTGAACAATTGATATGTTCTCTCTCTCTTAATCCTTATCTTTTTATCTTTTAGTTTTCTTATGTTTTTTTATATTTTATCTTTCTTATCTTTTCATCTTACCTTATCTTTTTTTTTTCTTATCTTTTTGCTCTGATACCTGTTAAGAAATTGATGTAACGTACCTCGAAAGTACAACAACGGAAGTTTAAAATTTTCCCAAATAGATCTTCCCTAATTATGACAAAACAATTGATATAACAATAATAATATATCTGAGTTAGAACTTACAGATTTTTCAGCCTAACGATGATAATCCTTGACCTATCCACGTGATTTCTCCTTTTCCGAAAGAACGGTTAGATCTCTCAAAGAGAAAGACTAAGAAATCTCTTCGTAAGGAAATAAACTGATAATACTGAATCTAGAAAAACTAGTCTATTAATTATAAAGGCAGATGATTTTATTATACTAGTTATAAACTAGTTTCTCAATCACAATGATAGTATTTCTCACTAATGAGTTCTAATCCTGTCAGGATCAAAATTCGTTATTAATTTAATAAGTAGATAAAATAAAACAAAATAATAATAAAAATAATGGAGAGGTGGTTGTACGCCAGTCTCTAGTTATTACTTCCTCCGTTCTTAAATAAATGCAACGGTCAACATTTCACACTTGTCGAGACACAACTTTGACCATTAATATAAATGATTTTGTATTAGTAAAAAAAATTAAAAAATTAGATTATGAAAATTTACAATGAGACAAGTTTAACAATATTTTTTCATAAAATAATATTATTACATTAATAAATAAGACGTAGTCAAAGTTGAATATGTGAATAGTGTAAAAGTCAAAGTGTTGCATTTATTTAAGAACGGAGGTAGTATATATTATTATTTATTGCATTTACTTTTCTTTTTAATTCCAAATTACAATAGAAAATATCAACTTTATTTAATAATACATATATTTTAATGAAGTATAATAAATCTAATTTATCACACTTAATTAATTCTATCAAATAGAACATTCCTTCAATATCATGAATTGAATATATTTAATCTAATTAATATTTAATCCATTTCCAGTATTACTAATTAAATATTATTTAATCCAATAGATATTTAATTCCTTCTAAAAATTGATTAGGAAGGTATAATCACTTGTTGTGTGACCCATAAGGCCTCATATATTAATCTCTAATCAAATTAAGGTCTTAGCGAAACCCTAGATGATTCTCCAGACAAACTTATTATATAAGGACGTTTGCGAGAACTGTTCAAACTCCTTGTAATATAGAGAGCTCATAGTGATACGGTCCTTTCATTCAACGAACATTCAACTAAGTCTAGAACTTGATATTGTGTCTATTCCAATAACTTAGTCTGTATCTTTCAATCTTTCTAAATGATCCAAAACGAATATATCTTTGCATAGCCCAATGACTTTATGATCAATCTAGATATGAGAAGTATAATGTTCTCTCTTAATCTATTACGAGAAATGAATCCTTTCTTGGCTCAACTACTACTCCATTACTCCATATGCTTCATGATGTACCCAACACATGTCATGTCTACCCTGATTAGAGTGCAAGTGTTGGTCCTGGTCAAAGCACATCACTCCGCACATGTAGTATGTATTGACTTCAAGTCGGATGACTATTACATTACTTGATGCGCTGATAATCCCATAGACACATGAATAGAGCTTATCAAATGGGTTCTCGGCGGGTATGCCAATATTATCTAAAATATCTATATGACCATCATGAATTACAGGAACTCATAGTTGTGAGATCAACTATACTTTCTAAAAGTATGATGTTGTCCACATACTAATTTTATCGCATATTATCAATATCCCTTTCTTGATGATCAATGATTGGGGTTATTGTAGGACCTTATGTTATACCATATAAGTTCTCACTTACTTATTGAAAACATAAGTCCAAGGGAACACAATTATGAACAAAATATTGACAATCAAAATCTTTAATCATCAATGTATAATATCGTATATATCTAACAACGTTATAATTATGAATGAGGGTTGATATCCTTAATTTGTGTCAACACACTGCATTAAAAGTTGTACATTGCATATAAAAAATGGAACCCTACTTTTATTATGTGTTCTTTACTCTTACATTTCCCTGCTAACGTTTCTGTCCCGTTAAGTCAATATTCCAAAACACCACTTAGCCCCTTACGTCGTAGCTAATTTAAGGTTATAGAAGGATGTCGACTTGGTTCAGGGGTATACTCCGTATATTTTACTCAAAACTTGTTTCTACTGAAAAGCCTAGAGTAGAAACTTCATCTTGCTAAAACTAAAGCTCTTCACAAACGCAACATCCATATTGGATAGAGTGGGCAACATCCATATTGCATTTTTCTAAATACTGCAAGTATGTTTATAAAAGCCTATAAAAGCCATCATTCTGCTACCATTTTTTGTTTAGAAAAATGCTTTTTAACCACATAAAGTAAAAACTAATTACTTCGGTTACAATAAATTGAACAACATTACTTCGGTTAAAAGCATACTTTTTTTTCAAGAAGTAATCCCAAATGGACTTGTCGGGTTGTTTATTGGTTTAACAGAAATTGTTCATTTTTTTCTGCAAACACGTAGAAACGTATATATGCTAGGGTTGGGTGTTTTGTTAGTTTTCCTTTTATATTTTTTCCTTCTTGTTGTTTATTAATAAAATTTCTTTCGTTAAAAAAAAAGTATTTATGCAAGCATACATTGTTTAATACTTGGTATACAAGGATTTTTGAGTTTCAGGATCACAAATACGTAGTAATAGTAACATTTTGTACAAAAATGACATTAGGCAAAAGCTCTCGCGCCTTGCGCGATCAAACGCTAGTCAAATATA